GACACGCTCCAGCACCTCCATGTCCTTCACCGCCTCGTCTGAAGGCTGCAGGAGCTGGGCACGTCTAAAAGGGAACAGCAGATATATACCATGGAAACAACTTTATGACACGAGGAGACAGATTTTTAATGCTCAGAGGTCCCTGAGTCTTTCATCAGTCAGATGTGGAATGAAAAATTCCACAGCAGCACACTGGCATGCTGCTCCGAATACCTGAGAGGCTGCAGCCAACCTCCCCGCTGGAACAAAGTCTTGAAAAAGAGCTTCTCCCTTTCAGTCCAGCCCACCCTTCCCAGGGTCATCACGGCTGTGCTGCTCCCACGGGGAAAAGCGTGGAGCCTGGGCAGGAGTTGCCACCCCCCGACCCAGCCGTGGGCGCTGCCCTTCCAGCTCAGGCTAACGCGGACACTGCCCTCTCTTGGGCTCGCCCACACACGGCAGCAAGCGTCTCGGGAGGAGCAGCCCACCAGAAAAGTCCTGGGCTTATGGCATGCAGAGTCTTAAACCAAAGCTCTTCTTTTAAATGTAGCCTGGAGCACCAAAACACAAGGGGTTTCCAACTTCTCCCCTCCAGATTTCATCTTCTGCTGTTTGGCAAAAGGATCAGATACTGGAATTTCTCCCGAGAGGCACCAGCAGTGTGGGAGGGACACAGACGTGACCCGGGAACTTGTCTGAGCTGGCTCACAGTAGGCAGATGCTCTGGCGAGAGTCCAGCTCCATGTCCTCGCCTCTTGCTACTCAAAGCATGCTCAGAGCCTCCTGACAATCAGTGCTATTTCCAACTGTGCAAGACACTCTCTGTTTAGCAACAGCTTCCCACGCTACCTTCTTCCTCCTTCCCATAAGGCATCTATGGCTTTTACAAAGGTTTTCTTCTTTTTTTTTTAAAAAATCAGCAAAATTAGCAACTGTGGGATGGCTGGAACCGCCGGTGCTGACTGCAGCACATACAGCAGTGAGGATGAAATCTGCTACAAACACATATTTCTTCAGCCAGCAACTCAAACTTGAGGACCGACTTGAGGACACAAACACCCCAGAGATGCTGAGCAGGCAAGAAGGAGGAAGTGGGAAGTGCGTGACAGCCCACACCACTCAGAGCTGCACTGGAGAACGGTCTGTGGTTGAACTTCAGGCTCTTCGAGGCTCTGAAAGGCACAGCCCCACTGGCCACTACCTCAAGGGGAAGGAGAAGTACTTGTTCCCTGACTTGCAGCGGATTTGTTCCCACTGGACACGCAGCAGGAGTGCTGAGTCCTCAAACCTGTCCACAATCTCCTGGAAAACAGAAGCAGGAGTCAGTACCAGGAGGGTGGATCTGCCAGAGGATGGAATCAGCAGCTCCCTCTCTGAACCAAGTCAGAGATGAGGCCGTTTGTGGCTGGAAGCCTCCAACTTCCCTCTGGAGGGTGATTTAGATCATGCTCCCTCCAAAAGCTTCTCTTCTTTCAACCCAGTGGGGTTTGTTTTGCTCAGTGAAGAGAACCACCGCTCTCTGCCCTCAGCAGGGAGAGGTGGCTGGACACCAGCTCTGCTCTTCCCCAGCTCTCCACACTGCGTGGGGACACACCTGGAGCTCCCGCAGACACTGCCCTTCCAGCCTGCCAGACAGGTCCCCGACACACCAGGCCAAGCTGATATGGAATGACGGGTCCTGAAGACAAAACAGGGATCAGATTGTGAGGGCCAAAGGAAGCTTCACTCAACTGACAGAGCCACAGTGGGAGATCTGGTGCGATGCTGCCCTGCCTGGGAGCACAGGGGTAGGAGGATCCTGAAGCTGGGAGCTCCCTCTGCCAGCTCAACAGTTGCAGAGCTGATAAGGACAGTGCTGGAGGCGAGATGAGTCCTGGGCTCCCCACCCCAGCCCTTTTGGACACCAGTGGGCAAGGCTGCGAGGTTCCCACCCTCCCTGTGGTCAACTCTGAAGAAGCTTTTCCAACTGCACAACAAACCCCTTGTGGACGGTCCTGGAGCAGGCAGGTGTGTCACTTCTGAATAACCCACAAGAGCTCCCTGCTCAGCTCTGGGGACAGGGAATCAGGGTCTGGCCCTTCAAAATCCAAAACCTGTCTCCTAGCACCAAGCAAAGAGGCTGGACCCATGTCCCAGGAAACCACCCAAGGAAGAGGCACAAGCATCGCCCTCAGTCCCACAGTGCTCACCCTAAGCCCATTCAGTCCTAGGACAACCCTGCTTCCATGCACAGCAGGCCAGCAACTGTGACAGAGGCTCTGGCCCTTTGCCCTGGAAACCCAACTCCTAAGAGGCCACCACATAGTTATCAACCTTACCCTCCTGCACAGGGTATGACACAGAAGTCATAGACTTGTGCCAGTCCCATTCTGAGCAAGACTGTGTTCAGGGTGTTAAGTATGGACACCGACCAGCCCAGAGGAGACCATTTCAGAGTCTAACCTCCCTGCTCCTGTTTATTTGGGGTGAATATTTAATGTTGCCCTCTCACAAGGAACCAGCTGGCATCTCTGGACTGGCAGAGAAGTATGTAGGAGACACCTCACCTTGTAGAATGTGGGAAGGTCAAATTCCTCCAGAACTCTGTCCACCTCCGAGACCAGCTCCAGCAGCTGGAAATGCCCCGCGGAGACCTCCAAGCCAATAAAGGTCCTAAACAAAGACAAGGAGAGACAGCAAACACCCTTTCATGCTGCAGAAAGCACAGCCATAAGCATACATAGCCCTGCATTCCTACCAGGCAAATTCCTTACCCCTAACAAAAGATAATTTGAGGAATGCCAGGTTTAAGCATTCAAGGACGTTGACTGTATTCTGAAGAAAAAAAGAAATAAAGATGTGGTAGCAGGGAGAAGCAGGACTGGATGATACAACACATAGATTTACTAATTAACTCAGCACTTTCTGGGACATGAAAACTCATTTTTCCAGGCAAAGGATGCACTTAACGGGTATTTCAGCAGAGCACCGTGCTGTGCAGGAGCCGCATTCAAACAGAGGAAGTTGCCAGAGGGGTTTTACGGGAGAGGAAGTGGAGAATGGAAAGTACCAAGCTGGAGAGACGTGACAGAGGTATCCCCTCGAGGACTAAGTGATGCTTTCTAGACTCCAGAAGGGGAGGGGAAGACTAAGTCTCACCCAGGATCTGCTTTGTCCCACTCATGACTATTGTGGGCTGCCATTCCCGTTAGATTCAGCAACTTTTCACAATTTTAATCACCTTTGCTTTGACATTTAAACTACTTAATTGCATTCAATTGCAATCAGGCTTCTGAGCTGACACCCAGGAGAATTAGCACCATCTGAGCTACTTCTCTCCAGCTCTTGGAAGACCTGCCCTGCAATTTCACGACTGGCATTGCTGCCAGAAGAGGTGGCCCCCAGCTCTGCTTACCCCAGGCTGCTCACACTGGCATGAGGGTTTGCGAAACTGCAGAACAAACCAGATGGGAGATGGCAGCTAACGTGGCTGCCTCCTGGAGCTGCTGTGAAACTGTAGCATGAATCTAACCCCAACATAAAATACCTGCCTCAGGTCAGGTTGTGAACAGATGTCCTCTCTTCAGAAGACTGAAATCTTAGAGCCTGAGCTTCGGCCACTGCTGTTGAGACCAACGGCTTGCAGAGAATCAGTGCTGAAGCTAAAAATTTGTGCAAGGGGCTGGGGAAAGGTGTGAAACCTCTGGAGACAAGGTGATTGCATACTGCCTCATCAAATGGCTCAGTCCAGTCACTGTGGGACAGGCAGGGTGACACTTGACATCCACCCAGCACCTCAGCCAGCCTTCTCCCCAGGCAGGCAGGCAGGCTGCCCCACTGCTTGCTCACCTGGTTTTGTTCTGGTTGGTGTAAACCTTCACTTGGTCAGCAACGCAGAAGAACCTGAAATAAGAAAGATTCTATTTCAGCTGGTGGGGAAAAAAAAAAGAAAAGAAAAAAGCAGAAGATGGGGAAGGGACAGGATTTCTACTGAGCTGTGGAAAGATAAAGGAACATGCATGCCACAATTGGACCGAATCAGTGCAACTAGAACCTTTCTGGGCTCAAATGAATCCAGTCTCCCCCAGTTTCCAGCCCTCCGAAGCCCAGATACTGAGAGAAGCCCTGAAGCAGTAGATGCCTCGTGGGCACCTAAGCCAGATATAAGCAATTAAACCATCCATGGTTTGCAGGATGGCACAGCTCCAGCCTCATCCTTGAAAGCCAAGACCTGACTTGTTTAGTGCCGGATCCTGAGGCAGAGAGGAAAACCCTCCAGGAATTTACTGGTGCAGCAGCAGCTGCCAGCGACCACTCTGGGTGTGGATGCTGGTGAAACATACAGGCTTGGGGAGGAGTGGCTGGAAATCT